TTTTAATCAGTGTTTGTGGTGTTAATTCAAAGTTGGAAGTTAAATTATGTCAAGTTCATAGCACTAACGTTAACTTACTCTGTCAACATTAACGTTAGCTAGCTAGACTCCACATTGATGATTGCCATGATTATTAATGTTAACCAGTTAGTTAAAACATCTAGCTAACTGTTAACGTTAGCTTTAAAACTACTGCGTCAGAGGAGGATGAGAAGCGTTTTTGCCGCCGAAAAGTTTTTTTTTTTTTCAATGCTTACAAACAACACAGAGATGACAATAATGGCATACAAATCAGCGAAAAGTCTTTTGTTCTGACTTACGTTAGCTAACGTTAGCTGGACTGCGTCAGAGGAGACGATAAAAAAAAAACGTTTTTGCCGCCCAACAATCTTTTGTTCTGAAATATTTTAATGCTAAAGCAAAGCCATTTGGGCGGAATGTTACTATCGATAGCCAGTGAGGGTTTTAAATTATGATTTATTATTTATTTTGTCTTCAAACTGTCTTAGAACATATTAGTAAAACCATGTAAGACTAACGTTAAATTACAACATCAGGCTAACTGACAGAACCGACCAACGGTTAACCTCCCTTTTGAGTAAAGTTAATATTAACGTTATCTAGCTGCTGTTATAAAAATAAACCGATTAAAGTTACTATCATTAATGGTTTTAACTTCTATCAATACTTGTCCTGGAAAAAAAAAATAAGATAGGCCTAACGTTACAGTATATTAATATTTAGGGCTGTGTCTGTGTGTGTGAGAGAGAGCATTTCCAGCGTCTCCAATGAGGTAGTGCTAGCTAAGTTACGCCTAAATACTTTCAATGTGTTTTTATATGGATATTAGGGCTTCAAAGTCCGGACCAAACGGCAAGCCCATACCTCTGGATATGAGAAAAATACCCAATGAACCAAACTGGAGCAAAAAATTACATTAATGTTACAGTCTGACATAATTGTGCCTTTTTAAATTATTGTATGCTCTTACCACCGTGGTGGTTAACATTGCTGTTTTTCTTTTCTCTATTGTTTAGATAATGAAGTTGACGGAGAAGCAGTGGACTATGGATTGACTGAGAGGATGGTTTCATACCTCTTTGAAGGATCGTTTAAGAAGCAAGCCAAATTCAACCGATTTGTTCAGCAGTGGAAAGAAACCGTGACACTAACCCTCAAGCCTGTCCGGGTACATTCAGAGAAGGCTACAGCGGAATCAAGGTACCGGTAACAGTAATGTTATCTCATTGTTATAACGTTAGGCCTAAGTAGAACTATGGAAAATAACTCTATAATCTCATAGCAATATAATATAGCTTTAAGGTTACCACTGAAGAAGTTTTTTATCTGATCTGAATTCACCTGGCTCTTGTAGTTTATGTAGATTTCCATTACACAATATTAAAACTTCATGCTGATTTGTACTCGGCTTTCGCCAAGGTAAGCAACACTAAGACGTAGCTTTACAGTAAACTATGCTTCTCCATCCATTTACGCTTCTTTCCATATGGTGGTGTGACTCCCTTCTGTCGGGCGTTAACGGCTGCAGTGTACCTGGCGCGTCAGCACACACGACGGCTGCAACTACAGTGTGGTCTCCCTAGTGGACCAGCACGACAACCGTCTGGATTGAGCCGAGTAGGGGACATCTCTAGGGTCTTCAAGTGGGCACCTTCCGTTTTCAGTGTTTCGTCGACTAGCCCACGACACCTCAAGAGTATGTATGTATGTATGTGTGTATGAACAGTTGGTTTGTTTGTGGTAGATTTCTGCATTTCTGTAATTTAACTACTTTATGATCTCTTGCAGGATCAGCCACCATCGCCATATCCTACTGTACATCTCGACGCTGTCGCTGACTGGAGGAGTGTGCTGACTCAAAGGGTCCCTGCAGTGGTCAAACTGGATGGGCAGTCAGTCTGCAGGGCGCTTGGTTTGGAGGAAGGTGTTATTGCTGCTTTTTGTGCTTCATCTACAACGTGGTATATCCATCTCGTCTGAAGAACACCCTAATTTTCATTCAGCGATATGTTCTAAAAATGTCTGAGGTTGGTGATAAGCCTCTACCTGTTAGTGTGACCAGGGTAATCAACATTTTAGCTTGATCAACAACTGCAATGCCTACACCATTCAGCTGTCCTAAATGCTCTCGAAGAGCCTTCACACTGATGACGTTAATCCATCACATCGGACTTGTTCATGCACATGAGCCACATTTGGTCAGTTGGTCAATGAAATGCTTCTTAAAAAATATTTAATTTAAAAAAAAATATATATATATATATTATTGTTTTTGTTTTTTTATATCAGACATGACATCCTAAACATTGTGGCATTTTATTTTGGGATGTTACATTGTATGGTTGTGAGTTGAATTATTATCGAATCTGTGAATTAAAGGACTAAAATAAATATCTAAAATTCAGTTAGTTGTTGTTTGCCTTTATTTTCTTTCACTCCTTAAGGAATAAAAAGGAACTTTTTTGCCACCTAAAGGTACAAAATGGCTTTGTCACTGGGGTGGTACCTTAATGGGACAAAATTGTACCCTTTTCCAGAGGTACTTTATTGTACCTTTGTCTAAGGTACATTATTGATCCTCAAAGGTACAGTATTGGCCCTTAGAAGGTACAAACAAGTAAGGTACAAATTTGCTCCTCTGACTTAAGGTACAATAATGTACCTTTGAGGGTACCACCCCAGTGACAAGCTTTTGTTCCTTAAAGGTACCGTTTTGTACTTTTTTTTCTGAGAGTGTGACCCCTGAGGGACTGGAAGTACAGATCCTGGTAAACGGTCATAAATCCTGGCAAATATGTGAAACCGTTCTCATGACACGGCTTTGTGTCACCACAGCAGAGTGATTTCTGATGCCTCAGCACTTCACACACTTCATTTAGAGAGAGAGGGAGAGAGAGAGAGCACATTTCAATCACTGTGATGGATTTCACGCGGGCTCTATCTGTATGTATGCATGTATGCATGTATGCATAGGCCAGAGCTGCATCACCACATGCATGCCAATTTAAATATTCAAGCACAAGAAGAAGGGAACGCAATTAAGCCACAGTCACACATGCAAAATATCTTCGGACACTGCAACGGTCATAATACGACAACGGCCGTGAGTATCCTAGTAAACATAGTCGGTTATGTCTAAGTAAGCGTAAACTAAACAGTTGAGAAAGAAAACACATTTATATCAGTATATTGGATCCGTGCATTAGTCTTAAAGTGCTGCTGTCTGCGTTTTAATGTTAAACAACGAAGGACAGAAAAAGATCACTCACTGCTCTTAACTTAATAACTTTTGTAACTTCAATAAGGATTAATCTATTTAATTTATACAGTTTACATTTGATTACTTAAATTTAATTTTCTGTACCTGAAACTGTTAGATCTACCTGAAAAACTTGAAAACCACTGTTTATTTAATTTGTATCTTTGTTCTACTGTATTTATTCGTCTTTTCGCTTGTTATTTGATTAACAAGCGTTGTTCTTATTTTATTACTGATTGTTTACTTGTCTTTAATAATCCTTTAAATTTATATTAGGCTAGTAGTTTTAGCTGTGGTATCGAAATTGGCTATTTTTATGGCCGGTCATTTTTCTTAAGTCACCGGTCATTGGCAGGTGGGGCAAAAAGTTAGTTTTAGGCCCTGCATCCATCTGTCTATTCATCTATCCATCCATCAAGCCATCTGGAATATGTTTGAATAATGACTGCAAAACTATAAATCACCATACACCATTGCAAGTCCAAATCCAACAGTTTTGCAAGTTTTACTGCATACACATCACTCATTCTCCTTGCATAAAAATAATTCAACAAAACAACATTTTATGGCAATTTATTATTTATTTTATTTAGCCATGTAATAAGGATATTATAGCCAGTTACTTCTATCCATCTATCTATTGATCCATTCAACCATCCATCAACCAGAACCAAACATTAAAGACTCAGGACCATAGAGTTTCTCTATCATCATAGAGGCAGCACTATGAAATAATCTCAGTTTGACTTCTGCAACACCCTATACTGGACAATTCAACATAGCCAACAAATCACTTATGTCGAATCTCACAACTAAAGACAACCAACTCCAAGGAAACCATGACCAAAAGGCACATGCTGTCTTTATGACATCATGTGGGCGTGACACTAAGCTATCAGAGAACAGAGTAGCCAAGGTAACAGGTAGCCTTGGAAACAATGGAGCAGAACCCATGCTTACATCTGTAGAGGAACCAAGTGTTCAGCACAGAGAGAGCAAGATCCCTGGACATGAAATAAAGTGGAAAATCACCCAACACCAGAACAAGATTAGATCAGACACAAAGTAAAGAAAGAAAAAGACCTCTCGATCCATCAGGCTATTTGTACTTCTCCTTTTCTCTCAGGCATGAACACAGCCAACAAGAAATGTTGGTATTTTTGGAAACAAATGGCCAAGTACAAATCTGACGGCAAAGATTTCTTTTAACACAAAACAAGGAGCCTTTTAAAGAAATATGTCAGTTTTGTGACTTCTTACTGGTATGTGACACCTTTAAATAGCACAGCTACTTTTAGCCTGAAGGCGACTAGAGAACAGGATATTGTTTGAGTGAGAGGCCTTTGCTTGTTATTTAAAAAGAGACCCAAGTTGCTTTTCCCAGCATACTGTATATCTCCCTCTCCTCCTCCACCTCCCATCTCTATCAGCCGCCAGGCAGGAAATTAAAAAGACTTCCTCGAAAAGAGAGACAGTGCTCTTGATGTTGAGAATCTCATTTCCATTCTATTCATGTGCTACAGTAAGGTCAGCAAGGAAGTCAATTAGTCCGAGCAGCCTCTACCCTTACCTTGCTGGATCATTAGAAGAGCAGCCTGGGCACTCTAGGAGACTCCTGTAGCCTCAAGCTACTTTTCTGAGAAGGCAATACTAACAGGAAGTACCTTTTGATTTGCTATGCACAACAGGGTGCTTTTTGGGAGGACCTGGTAACACTCACCTTCAGAGCGCAGAAGATGCACGAGTCCTCCATGCACTTGTGGGTGTTCAGTTGACGGAAGCTTCTGCGGAAGATGTCAAGATGCCAAAGGACCTGTGGTCAAGAGAACAGAAGGGTTAAGTCAACCAGAGAAAGTGTATGAAATTCGAACTGTCAAGTGGACACTGAAGTGCCCATCAACAAATACATCTCATAAACGACCCACATTTCCAAGAGAAACCACTACCATTCCAGATGAAAAGACCAGTATGTTGTGTTTTAGATTATTCTACCCACCTTGGAATACAGTTTTTTTTTAACTAGCTACCAGTAAGACTTTTTTGGCTATCCAACTTCACCAGAAAGACCATGCTGGTTGACCAGTATTTTTGGTTGTCATATATTATATATAGAGCAATATATGATGTTTTGGGCACGCTTATGGCTCACCTGCTAGACCAGCACAAAACCAACATGGATGACCACCAAGCAGCAGAACTAGCAAACCCCCTATATTTCCAATATCATAAATGCAATTTCACATTTTCGTAGCACCACACAAACATCACCAAACGGCATTGCAAATATTTTCAAACACACTTTGTCTGCTTCCATTGTTCAGGCCAAACAAGCAGGTTCCATCCCATCACAAACTCCATTAGTCAGGCTTTTCAGGATATCCATGCAAATTAAACAACATTGAAAGTGCCACATAGCCACAGTCTTTACTTTTTTGGTGAAATCAACATACCAACAGATGGCTTACTTTCTTAGTTGCCTCTGCACAGGACACTGGGATAGCAGAAAGTAATTCAACATAGAAAAAAACAACTCTCACTCACCCTCGGGTCAGGTTTTCACATTACAAAAAAACAGCCCAGAGGCTTCCTGGCCCCGTCCCACAGCGATCGGCCAATATCTGCACAATTCTCCAATCCTGTCAATAAATATGAGCCAGTCTTGGCTGCTGCTCTCACTCTGATCATCTGCCAGCTGTCCACTCCACTTAATCCTCTCGGCAGACCAGGAATCCAGCACTTCCAGTAGCCGTCCCGGCTCCGGCAGAGGTTCAGACCCGGATCCCGGTAGAATGAGAAGACAGGGAGGAGAAAGGATGGAGCGGAAGACAGTGAGAAATAGAGATGTGGGAACACAAACTGTCTGGGATAGAGAGGTGCGATCGCACATGAGGAAGAGAGACGGAGAGGGAACGAAGAGAGGGGAGGGGGGAAAGATAGAGCGAGAGAGAGAGAGAGATATGGTGAAGTGCGTAAGAATAAGAATGCGTGTGGAACGCAGAGGGGGAGATTGCTGCAGAGATATGAAGCTATGAATAACCGAGACATGCGGTACACGCTGCGGATCAGAGTTGTTTGGAGTTCACCTGCCCCGGGCACAACTCTCACTCATCATATAGAGCGAGACGTAGAGAACCTGCAAAACTAAAGTGGAACAAACAGCGAGACTGCACCTTTACCCGCAAGCAACCATCTGGACCCGAACACACACACACACACACCCGGTTGATCAAAGCTTTATCCTTTCCTAATGTATCCAGCACTGCCAACTGGGCCCGAACACAAACCCATATCATCATCATCATCCAAAACTGGGCGTATACACAAGCAGACCACACACATAACAGATCAGCATTGTTCTTCAGGAAAGCAACAAAAAAAGGACAACAATGCAAAAAAGCAGCAAAATCTCACTCTGTGTGGAAATCAGTTTTATCTGCTAACAATGCAGGAATGCCATGCTCAGCTTGGGAAGCTGTGCTTTATTATTTTCTGTAGGGCTTGCGAGTGTACAATATAGCCTGTCCATACCTTACTGATAATAATAAACTAAGGCACCGTGTAGTAAATCCTCAAGCATATTTGATCATCGTCAAAGCACATTTAGTCCTAGATATAGGGTCAAACATTGAATGAATAGCAACTGTTGAATATCCAAGTAAGCCAAGCAAAATAAAACTTTAGTAAAACTTACTAGTACATGGTGTTGTTGGCTGCGGTTTAAAGCAGAATTTTTATTTTTTATTTTAATTATTTAAAAGAATTCATATTTACCGTATTATTCTGAATATAAGACGACCCTGATTACATGACACATTTTTTCAAGATGTAGCTTTTGGAAAAAGGCTTTTTGAGGACCAAATCTTATATTTTATAAAGAAAATAATTTTATTTGAAAGTTTTTCAAATTTTAATTAATTTTTATATTCAAAGTATGGCAAATACTAGCAAAATGTACCAACAATCACATTTAAAACTAAACACTTAACAGCATACCATTAAAAAAAAAAAAGCTTTCACAATAACTGATTTCTCACCTTTTTTATGTACAGTGACAGATGTTGACATGTCAAAAAACACAGGTGTTTGATCCGCATTACCTATCTGTTCCAAGGAATATTAATGTATTTTCCTTAGGCCTATCACATAGCGCTGAAAAGACAGCAGTTTCTCCCTGATGTCGGAGGGCAAGTGCTGGGGCAAGACTGGTTTACGCTGCATCATTTTTACGCTGATTTAAAGCGGCCGCTTAGAAGAAATTGACAGACATGTGTGTCAGTATATAGCCAAAATAAGAAATGAGGGGCCTCGCTGGTGGGTATGTTCAGCTCTTTGGAAATATCCAGTGCCTTCAGCTGAATGATGGCTCTGGTTATGGGCAGCCCCTCATTTCTTTTTTCGGCTACGTTCTGAAACACTTGCTTGTCAATTTCTTTGAAGGGGACGCTTTTAGGACCGCGGTAAGCTTTTCTTTGGCATTTTTAAGACAGTTTTTTGGGTTCGGCATCTTCTAACGACCCCATTTTTCAGATGCAAAGAGAAAAAAAACAGTCTTATATTTGGAACAATATGTATTGCAAAACGATGGTAGATTATAATTTTTTTTTAAATGTCCTTTAATCTGTGCATGCATATTTTTTCTAACAATTTATTTTTGAATTTTGCTGTTCCTCAGCTTCTGTGGCTTTATGGGATAGCAAAGTGTCAACTGGTGGCACACTTGAGAATCCTTCCAGTTCCCAGATGCATTGTTCACCTATATCATGAATACTGAGCATTCTAAAGTTCTACATGACATACTCCTTTTTGCATATTGTCTAGCAGGGAAGTACACATAATTTGGACGCAGGGTGTGTGATGACAGAAATCTATAGCATCCTGCTGTGATTCCTCATGTGGTGACACATTTGCTGCCCTTTGTACTTCAGAAAGCCATCGCATTAACCTGTGCGTGCAGCTCTTAACCAAAGCTACTCTCCTCTGAAAAAAGGCAGAGACAAAAAAACAGGGAAATAATCACAAACAAATCGCTATAAGTAAAGGACTCCCCTGAGACTGGTGGAAAATAAATAGATGTGTTTCATAACTAATATACAAAGCATCTGCATTAGGTCCGAGGAACAAAGAACGCTAAAGCCCCTTTGATTGGGCTAAATATGTGGAATGGGATTATATAATGTTTTTTTCTTCTATATCTCCCTCTCCTTCTAACACTCCCAGTTTTTTTCAAGCACCCACTTTATGTCTCTAAGTATTATGAAATGGTCCTTTGGGTCTTTACCTCAGGATGTAGATAGATAATGCCATCCTGTTACTACATTAAACATTACACCCTATCCTTAACACATCAAATGGCTTTCTCATGTCAACTCAAATGCTAACACACAGGGTCACACATACACACACACACACACACACACACACAAGCATATTTAAACATGCATACCAAAGCAAAGCTCTGGAGTCTCAGCTCTCTTCTCTGTTCCCGAAAGCCCCGTGGCAGCACTACATGATTGTCAGTTCAGTCTCAGGGCAGATTTGCTGCTAGTCTCTGCAGCTCTTAAGCCTGGCCTGGTTTGCTCTCAGCAGCAGCACATCCTCAAAGAGCTCTGCGCTCATGTGCTCCGACCTGCATGCCCTTGCTTTTTGCTCATTTGAACTCTCTCACTCTCTCTCTCTCTCTCTAAAATAAAATACTAAATTTGACATGGTGCTGTATTAGTTCATAAGTTACTTTGTTACTATATACAATAAAAGTTCTGGCGCACTATGGCTGCCGTCGCATCATCCAGGTGGATGCTGCACATTAGTGGTGGTTGAGGAGAGTTCCCCTTCTATGTAAAGCACTTTGAGTGCCGAGAAAAGCGCTATATAAATGTAATGAATTCTTATTTTTTATTATAATTTTTTTTTTTTTTATTAAATAAATTTAAATTTCCCATTTCTGTCTACAATATATTAATTGCACGCTATAATCTTTGCACTTAATCCCGGATATGGCTCGTTTAACATGATCTACCCACTTATTTTTGAATAATAAACTGGAAATATTCCTTCATTTAAACAACTTCAATCAATTTGAACTAAGACTGGAGATCGTATCAGAAAGAAAAGTGAATGAAAGCATTGCGAGCATTGTTTATTTGCACCATCTTGATGTAGCCTATTATGGTTGTATGTGTTGTATCGCATACCTTGTTTAATTCTAATGAATGCTCTTTAATGTGATGTGTTGTTTGTTTTAGCTTTTTGTATTTCTTTAATATCAGATTTTTGCGTTTTCTGCATATTACACACTAAATAAATATTTGCAAGTTCTCCTTTCAATCATAAAATGTGTTGAAATAATGAGACAACATTTTTGTTTTTTCATCATTCAAGATTAAGGTTGGGAAACTTAAATTGGTGGATTAAGTACCGGTACTATATTTGTGATCGATTGTACATTAAATCACAAAATTCATGTGCTAGCACTGTCATTGATAGAGGCTAAAGCAAGAGTTGTTACAGGTGTACAGTACGTTTACTAAGAAAGTGCTGGTAATATAAGGTAACCACATGGGTTAAGGTTAGGTTTAGGGGTTGGTTCAGGGTTATTACCTACCCAATTATTGCAATTACTATAATGGGGAACAGGACTGCAAAATAAAGTGCTACCGGTCCAAGTCCAAGTGAAGTCTCAAGTTTTTGTTCTATTTTTAGCAGTAGTTCTTTAAGCAAGTTATTGTAATTAACAGTGTTTTTAAATATAAAAACTGATTTCTACTTCAAAAATGTCTAATAAAGCACAAAAAGTATTACTTAAATCATTATTTA